TTATCAAAAAAACAGTTTATCAAAGTCAAGATATATATATATATATATATATATATATTGATAAACTTGTTTTTGTATAATAAAATATGAATCGTTATCTAACGATTACGTAATATATTATTTGTACAAGTACAATTATTTATGGAAACGTAAAAGTGTAATACTATAATTGAAATACTAAAGAATATTAATGTTATATATCTTTTTTTATTTATTATCATTTAGATTTATTATTAGATTTATTATTAGCATAAATTAGATAGATTAGATTCATTATTAGCATAGATAATACTGCTTGTTTTTGTAACATCTTTTTTACAAATTGTAGAAAATTGTTTCTTTTTCAAATTGTATAAATTAATTCTAAAAATCAATTTTCACATAATTGTGACAAAAAAGAATTATATATTCCGTATAAGTAAGATAATTAAATGACAATTAATATGTAACAAGTAACTTTAAATTTACTTGTAAGAATAAATATACCTAATTTTTATAGTTTTGATACAATTGAGAAAGTCATGTTTAATACTCGATACGAAAAAAAAAAACCATTTCAAGTTTAAAAATGTGTGTATTGTGTGACATTCTGTTCTGAAATAAAAATGAAATAAAAATGTATGTATCGATACGAAACGATATTGATCTGAAGCATGCTCTTTTTGTAGCACAAGCTGTTTTTGGTATTGTGAGCTTAAAATTTAATTATTTTTTTGCTATCTATATTTTTTCTTATCTATATTTTTATAATATTATCACAAAATTTTAGTTACAACATATTTGTTGTAAAGTATATCTCAACAGTCCTATTGTTCGGATATATTGCTTTAATTCAGTTACATAATTGATAAATTATCAAAATCTTTTTCTTTTAAAAAGTTGTTGACCAAATACTGTCAATCATTTTAATACGCTTACAACATGCATAATTTCATGACATAGAAAACATGACATAGAAAAACCTTTCTTTTGTCTTAGAAGTTTCTTAAAACATTATGCAAGTTTTTTCACTATTTGCTATCCAATTAACTTGACAAATTTTCCACTTTCAGAAAGTCCATATAAAAGATTTAATTATTTTTGTTTTTTTTTCGCATCGCTGATCTTCTCATTTTGTTTATTTTATGTTGTGAGAGTAGTTATCAACACGAAGATTGTGTGTACTTTTATAGCTTTATCTTTCGCATATATATGTAACTATCATCACGGACAAGATTATATATGTGAAAATATTTTATTTCGTATTTTCTCGAAGTAATTTATTAGCGATTAAATGTGTTAGAGATGTATCTCTGATCAAATGATGGAAGTAAATGGAAATAAAAATGAAACGAACTTACTTCATTTTGCTTCAAACCAGATTATATTCGAAAAAAGATTTAAAATGACACAGAACGTTTCCAAAATATTTCCGAAATATTTTTATTTCTTCTTACCCGTACATCAGACATAATTGTTTTTCATTTATTTCCATTTATCTTCGGGTAATAAAGTTATTTCAAATTCATGTCAGTACTTCGGAATAAACCTTTTTTATTTACTTTCGACCTACTTCCGCAAATATTGACTTCCAAACACTGACTTCCAATCAGTTCATTCAGAAGTCCGTTTTCATCTATTTCCAATTTACTTCGGCTAACACATGAGTCCCAAATACATCGGTCCATTCCATTTCTAGATTATTTCCGTTTACTTCCAATTTTTCACTAAAATTTACTTTCATCTACACCTGAATTTATCATGAAAAAGCTGTAGTAGGTCGCAAAAAATTAGAAAATAATTGACTTCTACGAACTGAAAGTAGTCGAAAAAGATCACGTCACCTTTGATTAGAAGCAGAAAGAATTAAAATTTTATGTTCGTTTTCTCCAGATTTTAGATGACAAAAAGTTTGCAGTAGATCGGAAAAAAACGGAAATAATGATTCCTATGCTTTGGAAGTAGTTGGAAAACAATGACATCCCTTTTATTAGAAGCAGAAGGAACTAAAAATGTATTTCCGTTTACTTCTGATTTTTCGGAGACAAAAACTTGTAATAAACTTGTAATAAATCGGAAATAAATGAAAGTATTATCTTTATTTCCATTTATTTCCACCGTTCGACAGAGATGGTTATGTAAGTAATTTATTTCACATTATACAATAGTTGCTTATAGCACGGTACGAATAATGTACATATAGTTGTGATACAAATTAAGAGAATCAATTTGAATTTTATATTGAAAAATATATAATGCTAGAAAATAAATAGCGCGCAGCTGTAGTGTCTAGTAATATATAATATTGCAGTAAAAAATTTTGGTGTAACTATATAGTAATATTGAAATAAATGAATTATTCTAAAAGATCTGTTTTTTTTTCTCTAAAAATTTGCCGTTACTTTTAAAAGATATTAAAAAAATGATAGAAAAAAATGTATGAAAAAGTAAAGTGGATTTGGGCAAGTCGGAAATAATTTTTCACAAAATGCATAATTTTTAAGCATTCTTTATTGGAAAAGGTCTTCATTTCGTATCACTTGTAATGATACGGAATTCCAGACAATATATAATTTCTGCCACTATAGTCTTCCTCGAAGCTTACAGAAACTGAAATAAGTCGATAATATCTAGAAATGCATCGATTTATCGTTCTCTGTCGCGTGATAGATATATACATCCTTGAAGAACATGTTTGGTGTAAAGAATTTCCACGGGTACATCGGTCTATCGAGCGGGAAGCCAAACGATTTTCCATCCAGCGTAAACTTGCCAAAGATTGGCAATTCCACCGTTGAGAGCTTGGTCTCATCGAGCGGGCTCAAATAGAAGAACATCTTGAATCGCATACCCTCGGGTTTGCCTTTGGGTAGAGTCAGACGCTCAGGGAAGGCGAAGAGTTTCTCGTAGTAGGTAAACGGCTCACTTCCACCAATGGCTTTCTCCAATTTCTTGTAGAACAAATCGCTGGACATCATGTCGGGCATAGTGTAGACGGAATCGGAGCTACGGCGCTCGATGGTATTTGTGCCTTGTCTCACTGAAAAAGAACGGAGAGAAACGGGGGGGAAATAAATATCGCGGGGTGAAGTTTGTTCCACCAAGAGAATCAAAAGGATCTATCAAACTATTTCAAATGATATATCGAAATACGCGACTTACGCGTTACGACGAACTTATCCATCTCGATAAAGTATTTGTAGTATTCGCGGAGATAAGATACGTCTTTCTCGTCGTAATGATCGCCGAAGGCGGGTCCGAGGAAGATTTTCAGCACGGCCTTGGTCTCCTTGTCGCTGTTGATGTTGAAGCGATAGGTGAATGGCTTGTAATTGAGACAGTAACGGCGAGCTTTCACCCGTAGTTTCAGTCCTTCCTTGAAGCTCTCCACGGAAAGGGCGTTGTTGATGAACGTATCACATGTGTCGAAGTAGGTCGTCAATTTGTCGACGTTGACTGACTCGAACTTGACGCCGGGGAAAATGAGCTCGTTTTGAGTATAGTAGGGCATATATTTCTTGTACCTGTATGAATAATAGAGAGAGAGAGAGAGATCAAGTTGAATAGGAGAATAGGATTGAAATATTTCCAACATTAATACGATTTCAACGGCGCGCGTTCGAACCTGAAGAAGTACATCATAATCCTCTTGTACAGACGATAGAATCCAGGATCTCTCATGCTGGTACTGTAGCATTGGAGAGCGCTGGGAATCACTTTGCTCTTGTCCTTGTAATCAAAGTTGAAACCGAGGATGTCTCGGGCGAGAGCATCGTACATGCCGTAGAAGCGTTTGTTACACGAATCAACGTTGCCTTCAATCAGATTTGCGAGAATGCTCAAGCCTTCAGGGGTGTAGATGTTGATCTGCTTGCCGTTCTTATCGTACACGTAGCCAAGATCGATCGCATTCATAATACGCAATTCCAGAGCCTCGATCTCCTGCAAAGATTCGCGCGAGACTTAATTCGATAGGACGGCTGAAGTTGTACACGAAGTTGTACACAAAGCAAAAGTATAATTAAAAAGATGTAGCTGTACCTTTAGATATTTATATTTATAGAATGGCACATTCATGTATCGAGAACGTTGGGGCATGACGATTCCGTTGTGATACATCAGAGTTGAATAGTAGCCGGGATAGAAAGGCTTGTTCCAATCAAAGTCCTCGACATCGCCCAGATCGTTGGAGATGCGTTCCAAGTAGTATCGGCCCATCAGCTGCTTGTGATAGAAGTAGTAGTAGTAACCGCGGAAGTCCTTCGGGATATCAAAGTCTTTGAAATCGAACCAGAATGGCATGACTTGACGGAAGTAGTAGTAGAAGCTGTTCAAGGCAAAGTCCTCCATGAAGTAGTCCAATTTGTATTCCTCGTCAAAATAGGGTTTGACAAAGTTTCCGGAGTAATTGGCGTAGATCATGTAGCTGTCGACGTTGTCTACGTTGGCAGTGGCGAGTCCTGCGAATATAAAAGAAATATAAGAGAACGACGCTCTCTACTCGAGCGGAATTGAATATCGTACGTTGTTTTCGATAGGGCCGATTTGCAACTTACCACGCGTCATCTTGATGTCGTGAGCCTGCTGGATGACGTCGTTGTTGAAATACAGATTGGGATAAATCTCGTAAGGGGCTGGCAGTCTCAGGTACTTGCAATCGGGACGGTAGAAGACGGCGACGGTGAAAGCGGACGTGAAGATGCCGTCGTTGAGGTGAAGACGTGCCCAAGCGGCGGTTTTGTAGAAGGTCTGGAAATCCTTAGCATAATAGAAGAGCTTGAAGAGAAGTTTCATCTCTTCGCGGTGTTCCTCGTAGTAAGGCGAGTAAATGGCATTACGGCTGAGCATACCGTGTCTGTACAAGTACAAGAATTCCTGGACGATCAACTGTAGGAGAAACAAAGAGAAAGATTCATAAACGTGATATACGATATGCAAAAGGATGTATTTTAGAAACCGCCTAGAAAATTGGCAAGATTCCTCTAACTTGGGCACCTTGTCTTTGTACATATCGATGTTGCTCTCGATATCATAATTGCGGCCAATCTCGTAAAATTCGCTGTCGGTGAGGGTGTTTTGCTTGACGAAGAACATCAACTCGAAAATCTTCTTTTGCTTGTGAAGGAAGTCCATGTCGGCTGTCTTACCGTTGAGATGGAATCCATCCGACATGCATAGCGCCGTCAGCGCTAGCAGCAGCAGTTCCTTCAGCATCGCGTTCAAGCGATTTCGGTGTCTCGACGTTGATCAACAACTACCTCCGCGAGTCAGCAGAGGAGAACGACGTCTGACTGGTGGACCGTCGGCAGCTTTTATACCGGTAATTGTATTGATTTCGTCCCTAATCGGCTGACCTTAAGTCGCGACCTGCCTGTGTTTCAATCGTTTTCGCTCATCGCCGTTATCTTCATTCGCGTGTCACACCTTTCGACCAAACATCCATCCATGCGGTATTGTCATTCGTAGCGGTAATTACGTAGAGAAGACTTAATAGAAATCGATGGAAAATACACGTTGATCCTTGTGCTTTTTGCTAAACAAAGCTCTCATCTCATCAGGTAAGAAATCACACATTATGCTTTTCTTCTTAAAAGAGAAAAATACCTTTATAAAATCATTTTGGGATAATGTTTAATTTTATCGTTAATATTATCGTTTTACATTCCAAAAGACGTTTTACAATTCTTTTCGTCATCAAATTGTATCACCTCACAGAGGAGAGAGGGGGGGGGAGGATTATACGTACACAGATTTTGTGTAGCTAAATTTTTCTTAAAAGAGTTAATTGGAGTCGCCATCTTCGTAAAGTAAATATCTCGTTCTGGATCATATCAAAAAGTTTATTTGTCAAAAGTTTATACACAGAATAAAAATTTATTAAAATAATTAGTTATAATAGAGATTCAAAAGATAATAAATTGATAAATAAATAATTGGACTGGATATTAGCCAAGCCAGATGACGGGGCTAATGATATATTTGAAATTATCCTACTATATACAATAATTCTAAACAATATTTCATTAACCTAACAAACAATAAACATGAATTAAATAATTAAACATACGTTTCGACGTTAAATGCAGTCTTCTTCAGTGTTTCAAAAGATGAGTTATTCACGCAACGAAATTCACAATCTATTAAATTGATTTAATGATTTGATTTAAAAATTTATTATTAGATCAATGAGACTAATTCTCGCAAATTTAATTTTGCTGGAAAAAAATGCAATTTAAAGGCAAATATTTTCAGAGGCGTGCGATTCTACAAGAATATATAGTGTGTTTGAAAATCTATTTTTTTTTATTTATAAATATTTGCTAAAAATAGAAAATTATAAAGTTTATAACTGTAATTTTGCATATATCTAATTCTTTTTTTGTGCATGAGTATGTTATATAAAACTATATGTTATATAAACTATTATTAACTTAAAAAATTCATTATAGAGAAATTGTTTTGTTAAGAAGATGTTTCGTTAGCCTTATCTCAATATTTTTGTTTTGCTTCGAACGACTAATGTGATAACAACTAATTAACATGATACCTATATTCTTTTGAGTGAAATTCCTACGCGTAAACATGATTATACATTAATAATAAAAGAAACGAGTCTCTCTCGGCTTCGCAATTGCAACATTTCTTATCATTTATTGATATACAACGTATTTCAGGTTCATTTTATTATTTTTTTTGTTTACATATGTTTCCAGAAATCTCTATTTTTTAATGCTAAGAAACTAATACTTTTAGTTCTTCGAGAATTAAAAATATCTCTGCATTCTTACAAATTACTTGACAAATGTCATAAATACGCGTGTGTGATAAAATCTTCTTATATAATTTAAAATAAATTTTACCAGAAAATTTTCAGTACAAAATTACTAATTATTAGGATTAGTACAAAAAAATTTGAATTTTCGTTGTACAAAAAAGTTGCAACCTTTTCTTTTTTGACTAAATGTCAAATACACTATATATGTATATATTATTAGTATTATTTTTATAAAATTATTACTCTAACTCTTTAAGAGAACATCTATATCTATATGTAATATAATCCCACTTTGGTATATTTGACATTTCGTTCGAATTATTATTTTATATATATATAAAATACTTGTTTATATTATCTATTATTTAAGTTTGTGTAAATTTAATTATATATCGTTAATTATATATCATAAATCTTATAATAACTTTTAAGCATCTAAAATAAATTTAAATAAAGATATAAAATAAAGAAATAAAAGATTAAAATAAAGATATAAAAAACATCGATTCTATAGAATAAATTTTTATTAATTATCTTTTATTTCCAGAATAAATAATGTGAAGTTTAGACAATAGTTATCACACAAATAATAGCAATATTAAGTAATTGTATTAATAATCATAATGCAAATAATTTATTCAATTACTTGATTAAACCATTAATATGAATTATTAATATTTAATGAATATTAACATAACATAGAACATATTTATATTTTATTAATAATTATATATAACACATTTGGAAAGAGGGAAAGCGGAGGGGACAGGGGGGAAGAGAGAGAGTTTATGAGAAAGGCGTGCCGTAGATAATATTTGAAACGACACGCGCCGATTTATCACAGAACCAGCCGGTTTTTAAAGTTCATCAAATTTATTTAACCTTTAAGATTTGATAATTTTAACTTCAAATAACAATTCACATGATAACATATAAAGAATTTCCATACAGCCTAAATAAAACGTAAAGACGTTATGTATATTTGTATTTTTCCACTCTGTAGAAACCAGTTGCTAGTGCACACGCACGCACGCACGCACGCACGCACGCACGCACGCACGCACGCACGCAATATTATAGAGTATTTAAAAAATACAAAATTACAATTTTTTTGTTGAAAACTGGATTTATTTAATACGACTTGTGTATATTCTTGTGTAATTAAATTAGAATTAAATAACATTAACAAAAATTAAAAAAAAATATTTTTTTCAAGATATTCTCGAAATATCAGATATGATTATTTTAATGATTTGTAATTTATTTATTCAATAAATCTTTCTTCTTCTTGTCTTTTGATATAAATGACAAACTTATATAATATTATTTTTGTAATATTATTGAAAACTGTCATTTGATTATATTTTAAATATATCACAAGTGACACAAATTACAATAAAGTTATATCATATATTTTGCATAAATTTTATTTGTATGTGAAAAAAATATATTTTCTGTTCACATTATTTTACATTATTTTTTTATGTTTAATTATACATTATGTTTAACATCAGTAGAATTAATAATGAATTAATAAGAGAAAACACTTGTGTTACTTATCCATTATTTAATATAAAATTACGCATTTACTCATTTCTTAAAAAATTAGGTACATAGGAATGAAAGTGATCATTATCGTGAATATATATGCGCAAGCATAAATAAGAAAAATGCAACAGTTTTTATGATTGTTTTATTAAAGTGTACTATATTTGGCTTTTCTTTTAAAAATCCATTTAGCAACAGTGAAAATAAATTTTTCGGAAAGAAAAAGTTATTACTTTTCACAATATCATCTTTATTACATCTGTTTTTTACCTGTTTTTAAAAATGGCTTCATTGTAACAATTCAAGTCTTTTCTGAAATGAATGATTGCAATATTAAGAACAGTACATAGTACAAACAGCACTACATTTTTTTCTAATGTTTGAATAGTTCGTAAACTAATCATAATTTGATGCACTTATATATATATACATATATATACTTAATATTCCAATAATCATTTTTAATAAATTAATCAAGTTAAATAAATTATTTCGCTACTAACCGATTGAATCAATTTCAACTATGTATAGAGTCATTATTATCCATGTCATTATCATTATCATTACCATCCTCATCCTCATCCTCAGATTTAACACTTTTGACATCCTCTTCATCTTGAATATCTTGATCGGACATCTCTTCCCAATTGTCATCAGATTCGCTGCTGAGATCAATATCTTCTTTATCAGCACCTTCATCCGATGAATCTATGTATTTTTATAATAATATGATTAGATATGTTAAATTCCATAGAATTTTGAAATATTCATATGTCAAATTAACCTGGATCTTGATAAACCAATAAGCTATCTTCAGTTATGTCCTTGTTGTGGTCTTCATTAGCTTGAGTTATTTGTCCTGTTATAAGAGAAACTCTTCCTCTTAATTTTTGCATTGCCGTTAGAAGACCTAATTTTGCATCGATAAAACTTAGAATAGGACTGAGTGTCTCCGCGATATCTGGTCGCGACATTAAATGTGCTGCATGAGTCATTATCAAAGTTTGCAACCACATTACTGCAATTTTACTCCTAACACAAATAAAATAATTTTTATTTATAAAAAGTAAAAGATACAAATTTTATATTATCTTAGATAAAAAAAAATATAAAAAAATTGATATAAATTTATATTAAAAAGTATAATATAATTACGTATATGTTTTGCCTTGCAACATAACAGTTAATTCTTTCAGTAATGGCGTAATTGCTTGCACTGGTAATCTTGCGATAGTATTACGAATTACAGTTTCATTTTTTGTAAACAATACCGTCGTCAAAATAGTTTTATCTTTGCTATTTAACGCTTGCATCAGTAATTGTGCCATATTTGTTCCTTTCATTGATGTCCTTCCCGGCGTGTTTGCATCTGCATTCAAACTAAGATTTTCTAATCTATCTTTTAAAAGTAACTGAGAACCTGATGTCGTTCTATTTTTCTTCTGTGTCGGGATTCCTATTCCTAATAAAATATTAGATAGATTTTTTTAAAAAATTTTTTCATAAATTAAATAATTTCATAAATTAAATTTCATAAATTAAATCATACACTGTTATAAATAAATTCATAAAGAACATGTCACCTGGTGCGAGATATTTTACATCTTCTTCTATCACGGTAGGTTTAATTTTAGAGATTGACTCTTCTTTCTTTTCTTTTGATTTTTTCATATCTAATCTTTCTGATCTGACCAAACATTGCAATTTGTCCGAAAAATCAGGTATCACTTTCTCGAATGTCAAATTTACATAACTACCATATGCCAGTAATAATTTTCCATCTTCAGTCAAGTAACCCGCTAAAATTGGAATTTGTTGAACAGTTTCTTTCTGATTGGCATCTGCTGCTACCGCAATATTTAGAGACGGTTTCAATGGTTTAGTATGACCATTCGGTTGATATTTGAATAATTGTGCTTGGCCCGATTGAATAGTAGCCAATACAATAACTTGTGACTCTTCCGCAACAAGTATCGAAATTGAAGTAGCCTCGTCTTGCATGGCTAAAGTTGCTATTGATGCTTTATCATTTTTATTATTCTAAACAGACAAAGGGAAATTTAATTGTAAAACATGCTTTATCTTTTGCATGTAATAACCAACTATATTAATTATATGCATAGCATGCCAAAATTTTGTGCGCGCGCGCGCGTATATATGTGTGTGTATGTGTGTGTGTGTATACACAGTAAAATGAGTAATTATTATACTTAAAATACTAAGAGTAGTCTTAGATTGATATATCTGTGTCTTAGGTAAATCTATAATATATATTAGAAAAAGTTAATTTTTATCATAGCTTTACAAATATTTTCTTTTAATTTCTATTACTTTGTAATATTTGTTTATAAAACATTTCTAATTAAAATATTTTAAATAGATTATTTTTTTAACATTTCATATACTTTACAATTGCAAATCACTTTATATAT